TTTTTTTTCTTCCTGGCACTAATTGCTGGTGTGGCTTTCTGTTTTTGTTTATTTATTTAGTAATTAAGCTTGATGGTGGCAAGGAGGTACAATTTAAAAAGCGAAAGTATTGTACTCAGTCTTTTTCTCCTTTCTGAAATGAAGGACTGTTCCAAATGAATGAAAGACCTTCAGTCTGGGGATCGTACTGAACGATATAATCACAGGCATGGTTAAAATGTGAGCGGGCACCATCTTTAACCCGAGAAATCCTTGGGAGAAAAAGGAAGGGGAAAAGCAACATCGCCCTTTGTAGGAACTGTGGGTATGCCTGACTGAGTTAATTATGCACCGGCTTGCTGCACACAGGTCATGTTTGAGTAGCTTGTGAAAGGCTGAGCTGGCCGCAATGCCGTGCGCAAAGATTAGCAGCGCTGAATGCAGTTTGGTAAGCACAAGGGATGCCAATTGGTGGGAAGCAATGCAACTGGCAGTGAGAGGAGGTAGCTGAGTGCAGCGAGCAGTGTACACAAAGATCACAGGTTACATCTGGGATTTCATTATGCATGCCTAATGAGCACGTTGATGAGAACTCCCCAGGCCGTCGTAAAAGTAGCTGAAAAAAGAACTGCTGATAAGGCACTGAATAGCTTCTCTTGTAAAGCTTTCCTTTGGAGCTGAGATCTTTAAAGCCGGCAAAGATAATGGAGAGAAAATTGGACAATAAAATGCGAAGGGAGCTGTCCTGCCTCGCTACTTTAAACAACAAAAACATAACCCTGGTGTCCGTTCGAAAGCGGCAGGCAGCTCACGATGTGCCTGAACTACTGATTATTGGTGAAGGGTCCAAAGCGGGGTCTCCGCTAGAAGCAAGCAGGAAGTTGCAGAAAGAAGAGAAAGTTTTGCAGCGTAACTCCATGGGAATGCCAGAAGTCAGTACAACTGGAAGGCAGGTCGGTGAGCTGCTGTGTGGTGGTGGGGAAATGGAGAATTTAAAGCTAAATGTGCTGGATGTGGATTGTATATTGCTGTGCTAAACCTTCTGTATGCGAATCGCTTCCATCCTCAGCGTGACTCCATGCCCTCTAACAAGTAGTACACTGCCAAGGCCTCTGTGAGGTCTCTGGAATTAATCTTTGAAAGCAAATGGTAATGAGGTAGGCTATATCATTAGCTAATGAGCGTTCTCTTTTGGCTCCACCTAATAGTATAGAGTGGTGGTTCTTAGTAGGGAAACAAATGAGTGCTTCTCCTTATGAACTGTGATTGCTTGAATGCTTGAGTTGCTCGAGTGCTTGTGCTGGGTTATTTTCTGGAATCACAGAAATTGCAGAAACATTAAAACATCATAATTCTAGGTAAGTCATTTACTTATAACTACTGGGGAGACATTAACAAAACTTCATGGAAATGTAGCTGTGGCAATGTTTTATTTAGTTTTTAATTCAGAGTTATACCTTTGGAGATTGATCTTTCTAGAACTCTTCTCCATGAACATCAATGCTGATTAAAAACATTAAGAGGCTTATTAAAAAAAAAAAAAAGATTTTGCTTTTTAAAAGTTCATGTTACAAATTGCAATAATTTGGATTAATTGTAAGTTTAAGGAGAGCAAACTCCAAGAACAAATATTGTGTGCTTTGAAACAATGTATACTTCGAATGGCTTAAGTGATCAGAGTCAGGCTGGAAGGAAACAACAACAAAGACAGACTGGCTGTGCTGAAGGCTTTGTCTGTCTCTAGTTACTTCTCGCTTTGTAAATGCTTGCTGTAAAACAGTCATGACATAACTTTATTCTGCCAAGAGACCCCTCTCCTATATTCAGTTCATTGCAGTATATTGTGTCGCTCCCATCGCAGCCAGGAGCATCGCAAAGCGTTTTGCTTTGTTTTAATTCTGTGTTAGAAACCATCGATTTGCAAGAAGGTTTTTCTTTTTCCCTCTAAACCAAGTCTGATTTATACAGCTCACTTCAACTGAAAAGCACCCTCTGGGTCTCTAAAGTTTATCAAATATAGTGTGTGGATATGGTATCATTTCAGAAACAAGTATACAAACATTTCTCCATCTTCTGTCTAATAGAGAATCCTGCTTCCAAATGAAACATGTGACTTTGAAATAATATTTTCATTGCTTCACAATTTCCAGTTGGGGAGGGTGTTTCTTCCCCTCTTTTAGCGTTCAAGAATTATTTGGTGAATACAGAGCCATGTTAGAAGTAGATACTAACATAGGTGACTACTGACATGTTCTTCCTTTCCTCTTCCCCTTGTGAAGATGAACAAGCATTTAAGGCCTGATTCAGTTAAACAATGTGCTAACAAGATGGATGGGCAAGCTGTGCTGAGATTTGTTAAGAAAGATGGGAACTGAATTTCTGTCTCCTGCCGCCTAGAAATGATGCTTCTGTAGGCATGAAACTAAAGACTGTGGACCTTTGATGTTCCTGAGGCTGTTCTGCCCTCATTTTGTTGTTCACTGGCAACCTCTAACAAACTAGGAAAGCATCTGAAGTATTTAAAAAGCACGTAGATTTCCAGTAGTGTGCTACTGCCTGCCTGAATCCAATGCTGTGAATCAGCAGGTTGTGAAAGAGGAGAGCAGGAAAGGTGAAAAAGCGGCACAGATGAGGCCATTCTTCTTTGGCAGCTGTGTGCTTCAAGTTGAGAGGGCAAGAGCCGATTTCAGCCTGAGGATGTGTGGGGAGAAGGGCAGCTCAAAACCTTCAGATATGCCAGGTGAGAGGCTAAGTGAGACCTGGTGTTTGTGGGCAAGCAGGCAGGGAGAGGCAGAAAGGAATTTGCTGAATAGGCCAAGCCCTGTGTCCCTGCCTGCTGACAGCCTGGTGTTGTGAGGAGAAACCTGGCTCTTTAATTTCAGGATATGAAAATTGGTATCCAAGGCACAGGAGGGGCATCTGTGGCAAGGATTTGCGAGGTGTGAGGTGGTACAACCTGGAGAAACAAGAAGCAGTGTGGCAGCAACAGGGAGGTGGATGTCTGGATTAGGAATGCAGCTCCAGCCATGGGAGCCACGGGGGGGATCTCAGTTAGGGAGATGCTCAGAGAGCTACAGAGTTGGTTGTTTTTTTCCTTCAGACCACCAGTTTTAGCTAAATGATGAACAAAATGTTTTCACCTATTCTTGAAAAAATTGTGATGGCTCTTTGTGCAAAGTGTCAAGTGATGGTCAAGTTCTGGTGTTTCTGTGACTAACGGTGCATTAAAACAGTAGGATCAGTCGTTGCTTTTATGTTTTTCAAAAGATTGAATGGCAGAAAATGCCCTTCAGTCTTTTTATAAATTGAGTTTGAATTGCTTTTATGTCTCTAGGCACCTAGAAAAATGGAAGTGGTTAGTGAGCATGGGGCAGAGGACAAAAAGGACATAAAAGCTGTGATACTGCCTATTTTCTGTCTACAAGTTGCTGCCAGAAGCATAGTGGACAGGAGCAGGCAAGAAGGATGCTTGTGTCATGTCACTCTGCTCTCCTGCTGTTTCATCAGAAAATGCAGAACGCCAAAGCCTTTGTCATCTGAGCCAAAGTAAATGCACACAGTGAGCTCCTGTAGTGCGTTAGGCCTTCTGCTTTGCTGGGTGTTTGTGAAGATAAGCGCTTCCCACCATGGCCAAAGTCTCTGCTGGGTTCTAAGGGGGTGGAGAGATAGGTGGGAGAAGACAAGGAACAATTCTGAACTAAGCTTCTCAGGGCAGACATTAAAATAAGTGAGTGCTTGAACACCATTTGAAATATGGTATTTGAGAGAGAGTTTCCTTTAAAATGGGCCTTTTCCCAAATGTTGGGCCGTGTGTGGAGCCAGGAGTTGGACTCCATGATCCATACGCGTTCCTTCCAGCTTGGGACATTCTATAATTCTGTGATTCTATTATATTGTTATCTTAAACTGGGAAGGCACAAATAAGAGGAAGTAAGCATGCCTTTTGTGCCCTTAAATGGGAACCATAAACTGTTTATATTTTATTTTGAAGACGAGGACTGCCCTTCTTCAGGGGAGGCGGTTTAGTCACTATTCCTGGAGATGTTCAGGAAATGTTTAGATGTTGCACTGAGTTTAGTGGGGGTGTACTGGTGGTAGGGGATGGCTGGGCTAGATGATCTTGAAGGCCTTTCCCAACCTTGATGATTCTATGATTTATGTTGAGGATTTCAGCAACTTCTGGGAAGGAAGTGCAAAAAGAGGGGAAGTGCTATTCCAGGCACTGCTTGATGTGGAAGAGTAAGGGGGAGTAAGGGGGCCAAATGAGGGGTAGGGGCTAAAATCCATTTAACTCTTCCCAGCATCCCTGCAGCATAGTCACAAGACAGACGGAGCTGGGCACAGAAGGTAGGCTTGCCCCAGGATAGCAAGGAGCTGCGCCGTAGTGCTGCAGAGCTGAAGGTGTCTGCTGCAGCTCCAGGCTGTTCTGAGCACCTGTGGCACTGTGGTGGCTGTGGCCTCTCATATTCCACTTTTCTGGGGCCAGCCTCAGTGAAACTCACATGGCCCCTGACACACAGTGTGGTTATGCCATGCATGCAGTGAGCCCAGGTACTGTTGCGTGGTTTTGCAGCAGGGTGCTGGTTGTTACAGGACTGGTGGCATTAAACCAGGAGTCCTGATGGACACTAAGCTGAATGTGACCCAGCAGCTGTTGTTGCTAAGAAGGCTACTGGTATTGTTGGCTGCACTAGGCAAAGAACTGCCTGCAGGTTAACAGATGTGATCCTTCTTTTCTGCTCAGCTCTGGTGAGGCCACACCTGAAGTAATGGGTCCAGCTGTGGGCCCTCTGTACAAGAGGGCCCTGCCAGCCTTCACCATGATGTGGTTCTGTAAACCAAGCTTGCACAACTAACGGGAGTCAAGACTGAAGACTCATTTGCTTTCAGTTTCTTTACGGTCCTCCATAATTGTTCATGGCAAAGACTCAGGGAACTGATTTTCAGTACAGTGATGGGCACTTCAGGAAGCCCATTTCTGCCTTCACCTGCAGGTGAGATTCAGAGGAATATTGCATGTAACTAAGCAATGGCTTCTGTCTGTTTGTGAGCAGTTGCTTTTCCTAGGAAATAAGGGCCTCCTGTTCTAATAAATACAGCACAGAGAAGACAAATTAATTTTTTCATTTCGGTCATGACCCAGGCATTCATTATTCACAGGCTATCTAAGCATGAAACAAAATCAAGTTAATGGATTTTGAATACTGCATCAAATGGACTGGGTGCAGCCTAGTGTTAATAAGCAGCCTAAGTAATTCTCATCTGTGCTGTACGAAGGAGACAGTTTTCTTCGTAGCAGAAATGAGATTAATATTGTTGAGCTTGATCTGGTGACTCCTCCTCTTGTCCCTTCACTGCTGTAATGCCCATCATTAGGTGCTATAAGTAAGGAGTAGAGGGCCGATGGCTTCACAGGCATGTTAGTAGATTTGTCATAGCAGCTTCTATCTAGATTTTTAGAAGAAAAAGTCACTTTAAGTAACAGTAATGAAATTTGATGTTTTTTCATCAAAACCCAACGATCTTGAGCTTGTCCCTCCCCTTCTGTGCCTTCCTCATGACTTGATGTTAGCAATGTCCTTTGATGGCAGACTTATGCTCTGATTACTTCATCTGTAAGATATGTTGCCTTTGTAATTTTCACTAATGCTTCATTTTTCAATTGAATGGAGTGCACTGAACCATAGAATTGTAGTATTGCAGATCACAATCTGATTGATGCATAGTCTACTTTGGGCTAATCTACTTCAGTAATGGCTATCATGCCCTGAAGATTGGCATTGGATCAAACCAGTAGGTTCCTGTAGCTCAGTATCAGGTGCCTCTTTATTAGGACCTCTAAAAGGGGTGGATGAAACTAAAAGATGGTGGAAGCATCTGCATAGATTTAACAGAAATCTATAGGTGCAGACAATCCAAACCCTTGTGTACGTATGTACAGCTCTGCAGATAGCATGCAGCTGGTCCTGCCTGGTTTCAGGCTCTCAGGGAGTTACTGAATCCGTTTTCTGTGGACCTTTTATTTTGTTTTCATAGTGAGTGGGGTGAACTGAGCTAGCTGCTCACGTTTGTGGAGGGATGTTCAGTGTGGTTCCTCTTGTGAGCCTATGTGCAGGTGGCAGTCTGCAAGGAAGAGCAGAGCTCAGGCTGCATGGTGAGAGTGCTTCAGTTATAGATAAATTGGGTTGGGACTGCTGAGAACACTTTGCTTTAGCTAACTGGTAACGTATTCCAAGTGTAAATCAATGCTGAGAAACACTTAAATGGAATATTGCTGCTTACAGCAGTAAGGATGCACACATTTTTATTTTGCTCTTTAGGTTTTGTCCAATGCTGACTCTCCTCCTAGCTGCGCGCTGGAACCTGAAATGAAACAGAATTTTGCTTTTGACAACATGGGCTACGAGGAGAGCTTTGAAGCCATGCCCTCACCATCTTCCCAGGAACGCACTGTTGCAGTCAATGTGGTGGGAATGAGTTGCCAATCTTGTGTGCAGTCGATAGAAGGACGAATTTCCAAAGTTCAGGGTGTTGTGAGTATTAAAGTCTCCCTTGAACTGAATCATGCTTTAGTAAAATATCTACAGTCAGAAATAAGCGCTGAACAGATTTGCCAAGAAATAGAGGATATGGGCTTTGATGCTAACATAGCAGAAGAAAAGTTGGCACCGGTGTCTGTAAATTTGCCGTGCTCGAGAGAAGCAGTAATAAAGCTTCGGATAGAAGGCATGACGTGCCAGTCCTGTGTCACCAGCATTGAAGGAAAGATTAAGAAGCTTCACGGTGTGGCAAAAATCAAAGTGTCACTCGGTAACCAGGAAGCAGTTATTGCTTACCATCCTTACATCATTCAGCCTGAGGAACTTAGGAGCCATATCAGTAACCTGGGGTACGACTGCACCATTAAGAGTAAATCGGCACCTTTGAAGCTTGGTGTGCTTGATGCCAGGAACCTGCAGAGTGCAGACCCCAAGGAGATGCCAGCATCTCTTGAGAGTGAGGGTTTGCATCCACTGGTTGCCAGCAAGAGCAGCACAGCTGCGGTGACTGTACATATAGAAGGCATGCACTGCAAATCTTGTGTCAGAAACATTGAAGAAAATATATCCTCTCTTCCAGGCATACAAAGTATTGAAGTCTCCTTGGAGCATAAATGTGCTGTTGTACAGTATAGCCCAAATTTAATTACCTCGCCTGCTTTGCAGCAAGCTATTGAATCCCTTCCACCTGGGAACTTTAAAGTTTGCTTCCCTAATAGTTCAGAAGCAAATAGCCAGTCATCTCCATCTCCTGCTTTGGTATTTGATCTCTTCAGAGAGCCACTGAAAGACTCAACGTGCACAGCTGTTATTAGGATTGATGGCATGACCTGCAATTCCTGTGTACAGTCCATAGAAGGAACAATATCTCAGAGACACGGTGTGCAGCATGTAGCAGTTTCTTTAGCTGACAAGACTGGGACCATACATTATGATCCAGCAAACACGAATGGAGAGGAGTTGAGAGCTGCCATAGAAGAAATGGGGTTTGATGCATCTTTGCTGACAGGTAACAGTGTTTTGTCTTCTGTGATGCGCTTACCACTGGAGTAGGTTTCCTCCTATGGGCTCCTCCAGCCTCCTACAGGATGCTGTGAGATCTGTCAAACTGACTGTTCTAATTTAAATTCCAAACTCAGATTCTAAAAACGTGCGAACTTGAGGATGTTTCATTTAAAACCAATCTTTTTCTGGCTAAAATCCCTTCTTAGTGTCTGAATCATTTGATCTTTATTTCTTGAGAATTAATGCTAGGGACCTAAGCCTTGCTGTCAGCAAGATGAATGCCAAGATGTGCAGTCTTTGGGAGCCAACATTACTTTTACATGTTAGCTGCAGCACAGTTTGTGGAATTTGTATACATGCTCAATGTTTAAGAAGTTGCTATGGTGCATGATCTCCTCTCTAGCAAATTTCAAAAGCAGCAGTATTTATTTGCTTCAGCTCAGAACAAATTTCCTTTAAGTTACAGATGTGGTATATCTCGAATGCATTGGTTTAAACCCCAAATACCCAATTGTTTTTCTCACAGATCCAATCCCTCTGAAGCTATGGAACAGCTACAGATGAGGAGTCTGTGTATGATGTTAAATTATGATTTGTTTCTTTCATAACTTGTTGGTGGGAGAGCTCCTGTCTATGGAAAAGGAGAGGATCCTCTGCGCTTAACATGTTCAAAAGCAACTCTTGTTCCTTTGCACAAACCTTCTTAGGGAGATGATTTGAGAGCACTGCTATAGCCAGGAGGGTTATTTGTTGGATGCTGTTATCTGGCAGAGAGCAAAGATGATCACTGTGGGATGCATGAGTTGAGGTCTGAGTGCAGCAAATCCTTCCACTGCTCGTTTTGCAGTACTTGCATGATAACTGTTGTGTCATAAAGAGAAACCTGTTGTGAAATTCTTCCTTTCCCTTTTAGGGACCAAGCGCTATGAGCTGTGTAGAAGGTAACAAAGACAAGATGAGTAGGAGGCTGGTTTGTGCTCTGTGCTGAATAAAGACCCTCTAGATACCAATGTATCTTTATTGAGCAGGGGTAGCTGTCAGATTAAGGTAGCTCTTTGATCTGTGCACTGACATTGGAGGCACTCGCTGTCTGAAAGTGACAAAGAGTTGTGGTCATATAAGTAGTGCAGGTGAGTGTGTATTATATACGTAATAACAATCTATCATTTTCTTCCACCAAGAAACAGAGATTACCATGTCACCTCTCAAACAAATAAGGGACTTTGCATGATCGCTGTAACCTGCTTGTAGTTTTGTGTCATCCTATTGCCCTGTAATTGGTGTCTGTTCGGTTTATTGTGCATTTGTTCAAGATATTGGGGCAGGAGAATACAAGCGTTGGCCTGATGCCAGTAACACTGCGGCGCAGCCTCCAGTCCCAGAGCCTCCTGGCCAGGGTTGTGTCTCCGATGCACTTCCAGACAGCCCTCATCCTGATGAGCCAAACCAGCCCAGTGGAGCAACAGCCAAGAAGTGCTTTTTACAAATCACTGGCATGACCTGTGCATCGTGTGTGTCTACCATTGAAAGACATTTGCAGAAAGAAGAAGGTAATAAATTTGACGTTCCTGTAATGAGTCCTGAGGGACTGCTGGTTGGAAAAGGTATTCTGCATGGTCAATGGAAGAACACCTTGTGGTAGGACATCTTGTGGTTAAATAGACTTAATATTTTCTTTGTAGAGCTAATTTGACTACATCACTGTTTGTCTAGTGAGCCTACATGATGGACATAAATGTTTTGTAATAGTAAGTGGTTGGAATATGATCAATATTTCAAATTGGGATGAGAGGTAATGGCCTTAAGTTGCACCAGGGGAGATTCAGGTTAGATATCAGGAAAAATCTATTCTCAGAAAGAGCAGTGAAGCACTGGCAGAGGCTGCCCATGGACATGGTCTGTGGTCATGGTGCGGATGGTTTGATGGTCCAACAAGGTGATCTTAATGGTCTTTCCCAACCTTAATTATTCCCTGAAATAAGGCTCAAGACAAGAACAGGAAAGTTGTTCTTATTTTGTTCTCAGGGCCTTGCTTCTTTACAGAGCATTCCATCACTTTCAAAGCTGTTGAGAGCTCTGACATTTGTGGTATGAAGTTTATTCTCTGGTATACATTTGCACAAGCATGCACAAATAAATGCATGGCTCCAGTGCCTGGGTAATTATATTGGTTTAGGCACAGCAAGTCTTGTCAGGTTAGAAGTCTGCAGGCTGGCCATACAGAGAATGAACAGTCAAGCATCAGCATTGTCTGCTTTAATGCGTGTCAGCATGCCTTACTTGGGTTTTGCTTATTGATTCCTGTGTCTGCAGTTTCCCAATGCATGGTCTCCCTGCACTGATATAAAAAAATAAAGAAATTACTAGCAATTTGCTTTGTTTTCTGTGACTTCTATGCTTTGCTTTTTGATTGTAAATTTAGATTGAAAAAAAAAAAAAAAAAGAGCCCAATATCCAGTGGGATTTGGTTAGGGCTTTGCAAAATTAAGAAGGCCAGGGTAGAGCAGTGCAGAAATTGTTCATGAACTTTCTTTCTGTCTCTGACCACAGCCTTTTTTCCCCTCTAACTGTTGCAGCTCCTCGTATTGCTGTATGGAACTTTGGTATGGCTGCATTTCAGTAAAAACTTTGCTGCTGTGACTGGCAAACAATGCTAGGAGGAGGCAGAAGAGAGATCACTAGACATGAAATGGCACTAAGCTGCTACAGTTTCCATTGAAAATCATGTGATATTTGATTTTTCTTCCTCACAAACTGAACTGCTTTATCTAACATTCTTTATTATTGCTGCTGCAGGTATTGTTTCAGTGTTGGTAGCACTGATGGCAGGTAAAGCAGAGATAAAATACGAGCCTGACTTCATACAGCCTCTTGAAATAGCACAGTTGATCCACAACTTGGGTTTTGAAGCCACTGTCATAGAAGATCAATCAGAAACAGAAGGAAATGTGGAGCTGCTTGTAAGTAACATATTTCAAACTGTGTGTTGATTTTGGATATGTCAGGTTCAGAAGAAGCATTTTCTTGCGAGTGCTTTTGTTTAAGGAGGTACAGCCTCAACAGATCAGTTCTGTCTAGTGATGATCATTTTGCTTAATTGCTAGAAAGAGAAAATCAATTTGTTTTAGAAGACCTGTCAAAGCCACTGAAACAAAAACCAATAGTTGTAAGTATAGAATAGGCTTCTGTTAGCAGGGGGGAATGAAATGGGGAATATGTCTTCAAACACCTGATGAGAAGGTTAGGGACTTTGTATAGAGATCTGAGAACTCTGGGTGAAATAAGGACAGATTCTTTGAAAGTCTGTTTTTCTTCTTACGTTTATATGCAGTAAGACAGAAAACAGCCTCTGGTTATGCCAGTAGATCAGAAAGTGGGAATGTGCCATGCTGAGGATTTGAATTCAAATGATGTTAAATCTGCTACATAAATATTGACTCAGGCAGTGTTAATATAGGCAGCTATATTAACTGTACTCTTGCAATAAATGCAGTGTGCTGGTGTTGCTGTACAAATAAGCTGTTGTGAATGTAACTGTTTGTTGCAGAATTTTATAATAATAGAAGTAGATAGTTATATTTGTATCCTTTGAGACAGCTCTATAAACTCTTCCTGCTGAGGCTTTGTATCACTGCCTGCAGAGTTTGAACAGTCACTGGTATGTTTGTAACAGAATCTCAAATTCTTTAAACAAATATTGGATGAATATTTGGTTCATTAAAAGTGATGACAACAACAAAAACTTCCTTAAACACTGAAACCTGCACTGTGAGTGCAAAAGTGAAAATGACTGACGTACTGGACCTTCTTAGCACCAATGGTGAAGAGAGATTGCTAACTGTACCTAAAACTGTGTTTACTTCAGATTACAGGGATGACTTGTGCTTCCTGTGTTCACAATATTGAATCCAAACTTATGAGAACAAATGGCATATTCTATGCCTCAGTTGCACTTGCTACTTGCAAAGCTCACATCCAGTTTGATCCTGAAATTACAGGACCTCGAGATATTATAAAAATAATTGAGGTAGGTTTTAGAACATTTTGTTATAAACATCTAGAAGGTGTCCCTGCCTATGGAAGGGGGGTTGGAACTAGGTGATCCTAAGGTTCCCTTCCAATCCAAACCACTCTGGTTCTACAAGTCTATAAAATTAAGAAGAAAATAAAGCTGCTGATATTTGGAGGGTTTCACTGATTTTTACAGGTAATGTATTTATTATATGCATTTATGTATATATAATGTATTTATTAATGTATTTACAGGTAATGTGTTTATTATGTAGTGAAGCTGCTGTGCTGCACAGAAGTGCATAGCTTCCCAGTCTGTCCAGTCTATTGCTTTAAACATACATCCCAAAAGTAACAAAAAGATGAAAACAAATCCAACAAACCCACTTTTTTTTTTTAATCTGTATCTGGTAAAAGTGTAGAATCATGTGTCTGATTTCCAGTTATTTCAGTAAACTGTGGATACTATTAAAAAAAAAAAAAAAAACAACAAAGCACACAACAACAACAACAACAACAACAAAACAACCAGAAAAACAACCTAATTTCTCTTGTCTCTAAAAGAGCCTATGAAAGAAGTTGTGTAGCAGCAGGGAGGTGAGCCCTGCTCATATCAGGAGCATTACAGATCTCTGTATACACAGGCCTTTTTTCCCATGTCTACTCGGAGAGAAACCTTTTCAATCAAAAGAGTCATGGAAGGAAAAATATCCTGGCTTACCCATAACAGCAGAGGTCATAAGTTCTGCTATTATTGTAGCCCAGGTGTCGATAACACTTTTTCCTCTGCTTCAGCAGAAGGGTAGAGAATTTGTTGGATGAACCACACGCAGAAAGTAGTCAGGAGAATGGCTGAGTCTGTTTTCCTTTCGTGCCTTCAGAGTATTTTGTTCAGCACTGCAGAGCTGATGTGACAGCAGTGATCAACATATAAGTAGTAGACCATTCAGACTAGTAGAGCAGTTTTTTGAGGTATATCTTGCCACAGGATCATCTCATAATACAACTATTAAGATTAATTTGGGGGGGAGGAGTGGTTGCAAGGCAGTAAGACGTGAAGGGGTCAGTCATAACTGGATTCTTGCAAGTATGTAAACATATTCTTGCAAATACATAAATATATATATGTAATATATATATATATGTAATATATATATATATTATATTTATTTTTATATTATTTATTATATATATATATATATTTATATATATATATATAAGCTATATATATATATATATATAAATATATATATAAATATATATAAATAAATATATATATATATCTTTCCCCTGCAGTTAGCTTTATAGGTTTAAACTGGTTCTGGTAACTTTGATTATCAACTTCAGATGCATCTGTTCAACTGCCATGTTAAGGAGATGTTAGCAAGGTTTACTGCCTGGTAGCTTGTATACATTTTTAACTTTCTTTGTGGTGTTTTCTATCCATCATATTTAAACCAGTGGGGATTAAAGGGTGTAAAATTGCTATGAGGAGGAGAGCAACAGAATACCTGCTGTCAATGGGAGCTGCCTTTGCCTAGGAAGCCAGAACACTTACTGAGTTACAACTGTGTTGGTATATAGATAACACAAGTACTTTACAGTCCACATACTGAGTACTATCTGATATACCCTCTTGCTGAGGATCTGAAAATAAACAAGATGGCATTTATTAAATATGGAGCAGTGTCCTTTTCTGACATTTCTTCTAAAAGTAGTGTCATTTAAATATGTTCTAAGTAATATAGTTAGTCTAATCAAAAGTAACTCATCTTCCCTCCTCTTTTAATAAAAAGGAAATTGGCTTTCATGCTTGTGTGTCTAGAAGAGTTCCAAGTACACATAACTTGGATCATAAAAAGGAAATACAGCAGTAAGTACTTCACTTCCTCACTCACTAACAAATGTATGTAGATCATCTCTTGTAACACACCCTCACTTTTCTCAGTTAATTTAGCTTATTCTTGTGTAAAACATATTTCATTTTATGATTTGCTATTTGGATCATATACTTCTACTGCTTTCATTAGTTGTGGTTTTTAACTGATAAACGACAAAACATTTATATACCTAGGAGACAGTAAAACTGTCCTGATGTTTTGGTTCTTTCCCAAATATCCTGAAGCCGTGTGTCAGAATAGCACTGATGCTCCTAGCTCTGTATTGTCAGCACGGTGTTTGGCCTGGGTACTGCAGGTTGTGCTGTGACTGCGGATTTACAGCTTCTACTTTTCAGGTGGAGGAAGTCTTTTTTGTGCAGCCTTGTGTTTGGCATTCCTGTCTTAATCCTAATGATTTATATGCTAATACCTGGCGGTGAGCACCATGGGGCTATGGTGCTGGAGCAGAATCTCATTCCTGGATTATCTATTTTAAATCTTCTCTTCTTTGTCCTGTGCACTTTTGTTCAGGTATGTCCAGAGTATTTCTTGGAGGTTTGCTTTTTGTTCATTTCCCATTTATGTAATCTGATCTGATAAGGATAGGAGACCTATGGGAAGGTTTAGTGGATTATACCTGCTCTCTTGTCTGTGACACCTACATAGAATGAAGTGACACTTCTTTGCAAATTTTCAATTCTTAATTGCTCACTGCACTTACTCCTGCCACTGGTGTGCCATTAGCATTTCCAAGAGGGGAAGGGAATATTAAAACAAATAAATACCTGATCAGGTGTAAGCTGTTCAGGTAACTGTAGGTAAATCCTTTTAACTTCCTAGCTTTGTTTCTTTTGCATTTCTAGGAAAAGGGTAGGGTCTGCCAGGATTTAGCTGGCACGGCTGTTTAGAGAAAGTAAGAGCAAGTGAGAGGATAACATGGGATTCAATTTCCAGTAGATCTCTCCACTAAAGTTGTATTGAAGTAAAACTCAGATGGGACAGCCATCCCTTCTGTTACCTACTAGTGGTATTATATTCCCCTTGCTTTCACTGCTCTGATCTTAACATGTGCCTGTCTGCTCTTACACCAACAGTTCCTTGGTGGATGGTATTTTTACATACAAGCTTACAAGTCACTGAAGCACAAGGCAGCCAATATGGATGTGCTCATCGTTCTGGCCACAACGATTGCTTATGTGTATTCATGTGTGATCCTGTTAGTGGCCATAGTTGAAAAGGCAGAGGAAAGCCCTGTCACTTTCTTTGACACTCCTCCAATGCTGTTTGTATTCATTGCCCTTGGGAGATGGCTTGAACATATAGCAAAGGTAACTCATTTTCATGTGAAATATTGTGTGTTTATAATGAGAATGGAATAAAACTGTTCATGTGAGTTTGAGTCAGATGTTTCAGGTGTGTGAAGTAGCCTACAGTAATGGTCATTTAGAGTTCATTGTTCACCTTAAGCAGACATCAGCATTTATGTGTTCTGTGTGTCTCAAACATCTCCTTCCGTTTCTCAGAGTAAGACCTCAGAAGCTCTTGCTAAACTTATATCTCTTCAAGCCACGGAAGCCACTGTGGTGACTCTTGGACCTGACCACACTATTATCAGGTATTTATTACATTTCATGAAGCAAAATATTCAGCCTACTCGGGTGCGCAGACTGGGCTTGAAGCAGTTACTGTGAAACCGTTGCTATGGCTTTGAAACCTGTGACATTAAATGAGCTGTCCTTATTTTTATCGTTTGCAGAGAGGAGCAGGTACCTGTTGAACTGGTTCAAAGGGGTGATATTGTAAAGGTTGTTCCAGGTGGAAAGTTCCCAGTGGATGGGAAAGTCATTGAAGGCAATTCTATGGCAGATGAGTCTCTCATTACTGGTAACTTCTCTTAAACTTGTGCAAATGTGCGAAACCTTCTATAACTTTTTCTCACATGAAAAGAGAACAGAACAAAGCACAAGATGTTGTCTAAATAACCTCCCATCTTAATGAGCTCTTTTCCTGGCCTTTGTGAGCTTCAATCCAAATCCTGTATCTGCATACATATAAAAAAAATTGAAGAATCTCAGCTCAATTTGGTCTCTTTTACTAATGCACTGATGGGATGTGCAAAGGCTGAGCACTGTGGTCGTTATTCCAGAGATACGGTGGGAGTTTCTGATGGAATGTATTTCTAGAGAAGATGCATTTTCAGTAGTGACTTCTAAAGGAAATATTGCTAAGATGTTGAAGTCATACACATAGACATCAAGGCTTCCAACAAAGATGGCCAAGGGAGCAAGGAGAGTGAAAGAAAGTCTCGTGACTTGGTGCTCGTTAAGAGTCATAGAACTTCTTCAGTTTCTGAGATTTCCGTTTCGTTTCCTAAATATAAATAAGAATTACAAAATCAAATAAATCCTAATTATAAGTTGAAGGATCTAAAAACTTCACATTGTGATCGGCTTGCTTGATTTTAGTTATGTATTTACTTTGGGGAAAAGAGACACCCTTAATTTTAGGAGAACCAGTCACTGTCACTAACCTTAAGAGCAGAAAATAGTGGATTTGTAGAGATTCTTAAAGCAACAGTGTGAGAATGTGGACTTTGCCCCAGAGTAAACTTTCTTGATTTTGGAAAACTGAGATTAGTGGAAATGGAGACAGGCTTCTCAAACTCCTGTGGCTGTACAAAGTTACCAGGTAGAGGAAATTCCTAGAGGTTCCCTTCAGTATGGATCTCTTGCTGACCTTTTTGAGGGATGGCACACCGGAGAGTTAGGACCAAGGACACTTCTTTTTCCTTTGATATTAATCTGACAAAAGGCCAGGACGAGTTGCAGCTCAGATATCCAGAGCAAAGTGGCAAATAGGAATTTCCATAATGCAAATGCTTGGGATCTTTTGTTCTGGAGCAGTTTATGGTTTCCACTCACCTCCAGCCTCTACAGTTCATGGTAAATACCACACCAAGCAGCGTAGTGTTTTTCCAAGCAGCAGTCTGTATTTGTTAGAGGATTGATAAACTTGATTGTGTTTTTAGAAGATTAGACTGATTATTGTGTAGTTACTCAAATAAAGCCTTGCCCAAATTCCTTCAGCAATGAAGGAATGCGTTAGATGGCTGATGCTGACTTTACCTGCTGGTATTATGATGCTGAACTTTTTTTCTTCTATATGAGGAAATGAAAGCAGAGAAGCATAAAGCATAAGATCTAGTTTCTGTCCTGCATTCTAAACAGAATCACAGAAACCAGTGGTGGCTGAGCCATCTCCATGTTGCATAACGATTCCAAATTCTGTAACTTTAGGAGCTGTGCTGTCTTGTTCACGGTCCCTGGGTCACATGATTTTCAAGCTTTGCCAAATCACAGACTTTTTCCTACTAAGATGCAGAGAAAATTTATTCTAAATCTTTCCTGGTTTTTGACAAACCTCTATCTTGGGTGCCCCAGAATTGTCTCTCTTCCTCTTACAGTGGCTCTGTCGCTTTCACAGTTTCTTATGTGATGTATTTCATAGCCAATCAGAAAGATGATCTCCCTTCCTGTACACCTCAAAGTTTCAGTGAAGACATGAGAAACTATGGCCTATTTTATCAAAATCTGGGATTAGAGACTGTTCATTCATACTAGGGTACATTCAAACATCAGGGTGTAGCATCTGTACTGTGTCTGATAGAAAGATGGAGCACTGATGTTTGTAGGCTAGGGATTGTGTTTCTGGAGGTGGGAGAAGAGCCCTACATCTCTGGCAGGCTGAAAAGGAAGAGCCAGAAATCACAGACTCATAGAATGGCCTGGATTGAAAAGGACCACAATGATCATCTAGTCTCAACCCCACTGCCATTGGCAGGGTTGCCAACCAGCAGACCAGGCTGCCCAGAGCCACATCCAGCCTGGCCTTGAATGCCTCCAGGGATGGGGCATCCACAACCTCCTTGGGCAACCTGTTCCAGTGCATCACCACCTCTGTGTGGGAAAAACCTCCAGCTAATATCTAACCTAAACCTCCCCTGTGTCAATTTAAAACCCTTCCCCCTTGTCCTATCACTATCAGACCCATGTAAACAGTCATTCTCCTTCTTGTTTATATGCTCCCTTCAAGTACTGGAAGGCCACAATGAGGTCTCCCCAGAGCTCTTTCTTCTCCAGGCTAAACAAGCCCAGTGTCTTCAACCTTTCTTTATAAGAGAGGTGCTCTGGCCCTCTGAAATATTTCTGCTAAGACATTTGCTTCAAAAATAAACCTAGAAAAAGGTTTACAGAAGCATGGCATCACTTATACATGCCTTCAGAGGACTGAGATATACAATGTGTAATTTTATGCCATTATTGTTTATTGTGCTGATTTTGCTGGCGTACAGTGAGTGTGCAGTGTACTGTGTTCATTATCATTAGAGGTATTTGCACTGGTCTGATGCATTTATTTTTGGTGTTTCTTTCCAGGGGAAGCTATGCCTGTCACTAAAAAGCCTGGGAGCACAGTGATTGCTGGCTCTATAAATGCACATGGCTCAGTTCTTGTTAATGCAACTCATGTTGGTAATGATACCACCCTGGCACAGATTGTGAAATTGGTGGAAGAAGCTCAAATGTCAAAGGTAAAAGTAAGAGAAAAGGAAACCTTATTCATCAATTTTGATTAAATGAGAAAAGATTCTGTATTTTGATACATTTATGTAACCCGTGATCTGTGTTTTTCCAGACTTCAGAAAATAATGGACTGTTAGTTTCATTAATTCTGCATATTCAGTGTTTTGATCATAAACATGCAAACGTCTGTTTTTCTTTTTTATAGGCACCAATCCAGCAACTGGCCGATAAGTTTAGTGGATATTTTGTTCCATTTATCATCATAATTTCTACAGTGACTTTGATAGTATGGATCACAATTGGTTTTATAAATTTTGATATTATTCAGAAATATTTTCCTGTAAGTAATTTGATTAAGGGTTGGATTTCCTTGTTAAGCTGTCTCCCACTGAAATTAAAATACCTTCTGTTTGTAGGGCTTGACGTTGTACAAAGGTGTTTACCAGGTTACAATGTAGTATTTTCTACACAAAGGGAATGATTACACTAATTAAAATATATTTGTGGGTGTAAATATACTTGTGCATTAGCTCTCCTTGCTGCATAGGGTTCTTATGAACTGAAATGATAAGCATTCCTTCTGGATTAAGCATGACTTGTAGCTGCACTGCAAGGAGCTGAACCATTCCTATCATGCTTGGAATTTTTTTAACTCCCTGTTCCTTGGCAGATAGTGGGTTTGTCTCCAGAAGAAAAATGAGTTTCTCTTATCTTTAGGATGTGTGTTTGCTGTGCTCAGCAACTGTGGGTATCTGTGCACCTGGAAATAGATTTCTCATTAGATGAGGAAACCAGTGCTGGCAATTTACATCATCTGAGAGCAGAGCCATTCTGTGACACCCACCAGTGTGAGGATAATTCTGATGTATCCCCCATGAATGATGAGCGCACTCAGATGTTGTACAAAATCTGTTTTAGTTCATGAAATAAGAGGAGATTCAGGAATGCTTACTTGCTGCTTTCCTGAAGTTACTGAGTTCAGGTCTCTGTGGAGTGGGGACTCTGCATGTTCAGTCTCCTAAAAATCCTCTTGCCATGATGACTGGGACAGTGTTTGTACTCTGAAGGCAGAATTCGCCCTCAGAACACTGCCCTTTAGTTGGTGTCTCTGATCTGCCCTGAACATAAGGCAGTTACTGCAGCCTCCCCATGCTGTTAGGCTGTGTTTAAATGCATTTTATCATAGAATGGCCTGGGTTGAAAAGGACCACAATGCTCATCTAGTCTCAACCCCACTGCCGTTGGCAGGGTTGCCAACCATTAGACCAGGCTGCCCAGAGCCACATCCAGCCTGGCCTTGAATGCCTCCAGGGATGGGGCATCCACAACCTCCTTGGGCAACCTGTTCCAGGGCATCACCACCCTCTGTGTGAAAAACTTCCTCCTAATATCTAACCTAAACCTCCCCTGTCTCAGTTTAAAATCATTCCCCCCTTGTCCTATCACTGTCCACGTATGTAAACGTCCATTCCCCCTCCTGTTTATATGCTCCCTTCAAGTACTGGAAGGCCACAATGAGGTCTCTCTGGAACCTTCTCCTCTCCGAGCTAAACAAGCCCAGTTCCCTCAGCCCTTCCTCAGGAGAGGTGCTCCAGCCCTCTGATCATCTCAGTGCCCTCCTCTGGATCTGCTCTAAGAGCTCCACGACCTTCCTGTACTGGGGGCCCCAGGCCTGGACGCAGTGCTGCAGATGGGGCCTCACAAGAGCCGAGTAGAGGGGGACAAGCACCTCCCTCTCCCTGCTGGCCACCCCTTTGTTAATGCAGCCCAGAACACAGTTGGCCTTCTGGGCTGCAAGCACACACTGCTGGCCCATGTCCAGCTTCTCGTCCACCAGGACCCCAAGTCCTTCTCTGCAGGGCTGCTCTCAAGGAAATCTTCCCCCAGTCTATAAAAATGCTAGGGATTGCCTCAGCCAAAATGCAATGTCTTGTAGTGTATTTATTATTTATTATGTTTTATTTGAAGTTTAGGTAGGCTATATTTCTTAAATAGGTGGCCAACAGGAATTCCTGAAGCATATGTGCTTGAGTAGCAAGAAAGCCACAGGACACTGCCATAAACAATTCATAACGTTCATCTTTCTGTACTATTACAGTAGCAATTATAAATTACATTCCTATAGTTGAGGTTGCCTGGTAAATGTGTTTTTTGAGATGGCTATGATTGATCGTGCGTATGTTATCTTCTATCAGCAAATCTTTTTTTTTCTTTTTTTGCCTCCTCTCCTCCTTCTTCTTACAGAATCAGAACAAGCACCTTTCAAAAGCTGAACTAATACTGAGGTTTGCGTTTCAAACCTCGATCACTGTGCTGAGCATTGCATGCCCCTGTTCTTTAGGCTTGGCTACCCCAACAGCTGTGATGGTGGGCACAGGAGTTGCTGCGCAGAATGGTATTCTCATCAAAGGCGGAAAACCTCTGGAAATGGCACACAAGGTTAATTGTTCATTCTGTACCTTTGTAGCTTTCCCAGCTGTCGCCACATCAAATATAGTGTCTCAGGAAATCTCTCTGATAAAAAGAAAGGCTGCAGATTTTTTTTCCCCGTTGGCAACTGTGGTGGCAAGCAAGATGACTTTGACCTTCTTTCTCCACAATCCAAAGTAGGTGGCAAAGTGTTGAGAGGCAGCAGTTTCAGCAGTCTGTTGCCTTTGCTGCTGATGTTCTGCATGACCTTGTGCGGTCTCCGGCATTTGTGCTCTCTTAGCTTCTTTCCAGAAAGCCAACATTTTTCTTCTTTGAGGGCTGATGTGAAATATATGTTGGTCATGGTCAGTGGCTTAAAATGTAGGAGAAAAACGGTGTGGTTGGAAGTTGTTTTAGTCAAGGGAGGGGAAGATAGATGGGTGGCTGAAAAAGCCCTTCAAACAGACGGTAAGAGGAAATGGAGAAAGAAGGACTTGGCATGCCCACAGTCAGTAAAAAGAAGATGAGTTTACACCATGCTGTGAAAGACTGAGTTGGATATAAGCAGACTAAAGAGAGGTGAAAAGGATAATGAGAATAAATTAACCAGACTGACAGTAATTCTCATTCATTCAAATGTGTGCTCACTCACACAAAGCAAGTGTTGTGATATTGAGATCCTTGTATGGGTACAGCATGATACTGCAGCTTCAGCTGTACAAGGAATGAATAAGAAAGCATAAGGAGATCTACTGCACAGACGGTCTATGGTTCAGGATTTCCTGGGTTTTGTAGGTTTATTCAGCTTGTTTTGGTTACTGTCAGCTATTTATTGATGTCTTGCCTGTGTTTATGTGCTCAAAGCATGCAAGATCCCTACGGTCATATAGCTTAGGCAGTAACTCTGGTTTATTTCTTGCAGATCAAGACTGTGATGTTTGATAAAACGGGGACCATTACTTGTGGAGTTCCTAAAGTCATGAGGGTTCTTCTGCTGGGAGACACAGCTGTGCTCTCTCTGAAGAAGGTACTGGCAGTGGTTGGCACTGCAGAAGCCAGCAGTGAGCATCCTTTAGGAGTGGCGGTCACTAAATACTGCAAAGAGGTACTTAGACTTATTGTTTCACTTCAGATATATATATATATATATGCTGTGTGAAATCAGCAGATTCCAGAAGGAGAGGCCTGTCTGAAAAGTAGCTGGCTGAGAAGCTGGTAGATGTTATCTTAACCTGCACAATACCTGGGAGGCATAATCTAAACTTTGCTTTTGTGGCCACGCTACGGAGTCCTCAAGCAAGATATTACTAAGTTTTGCCAGACAATGACAAAGGAAGGATTGTAGAATATATGCAGGAGGAACATGTAAGCTTAAAAAAGCATTGTGAAGCAGAAGTGTATGGTGACATTTCACACGTTACCTGATTGTGGTAGTCACTGCTATTAGTCAGTTGCTTATCTGAATAGGTTAGTCAAAAAGCTGTGGAGCAAATATGAATATTAAACTGTGATATTTGTGAATTTCACAAGTTGATTACTCATGCCTGCACAAATCCTGCAAATCCTTGGAGAACCTTTATATATTGTTTGTGTTCATTAAATGTTTCAGGAAGAATGAAAGCATAATTAGAAACAACATAAGAAGCCTGGTTTAAATAACTTCTTTCTACTAAGGCAGGTCACTGAGCTACTTGCCATTAGATGATGAATCTCAAACTTATTAATGATAGCTCTTTCAGTGATGAAATTTAGAAGTTAACATGTAAATTTAGAAGGAAAAAGTAAGTGTGGGTAATGATTCAGTGGCCCCTCTTATATTTCACATTTCCTGTTTTTCAAATTTGTCTTAGTTCCCCTGAAATTTCTGTAGTTATTGTATGTGTCAGTTATTACTGTCTATAGAGTTCTCTGAAAGGTACATATAGTTCTGATATCTAGAAATAACTCACAATAAATTGTTTATCAAAGAATGTGGGCTTTTTTCCCATTATTTTTGCAATTTGTATGACTGTAGTTATATATATTTATATATAATAATATTTTATATATATATAAAAATATAAATATATATAATAATATATAAATAATATAAATAAATAAATAATATTATAAATATATAAAAAAATATATATAAATAAATAAACTGGGCTCACGCAGTCACTTGTCTGTGTGGCTAATTAAAAGCTGCATCTTTCCAGAGTTCTATGGCTGATTTTTGTAGTATTACTTCTTATTTCCCAGTCTTGGCTGAAGTTGTAAGCCACCACTGTACCTCCTTCATCTCTGAACCACCAGGAAACGTCACCCTTTTTGGTTTGCTTGTGCTAGGGCTGAGACTGAGATGTGACCTCTATTGCTGTTCGCTTCAGAAGTATCATCCCCAGCACATCTACGACATCTTTATTTTTATTTCTCCGCTACTGATGCTCCATGCTGCTTTCCAGTCTATCAGTCATTGTAAAGAGGAGGAACACAATCTCTTTTTGATGGCAGTGATCTCACATTTGTACCGCGTATTGTCAGCACAAACTGATGATGAATTCTGGTTATCTCTGCAGGAGCTTGGCACTCAGAGCCTGGGATACTGCACCAACTTCCAGGCAGTCCCAGGTTGTGGCATCAGCTGCAAAGTAGGTGGTGTTGAGGCTGTCGTGGGTGTGGCTGATGAGGGTGTTGATAAGTTGGACGCTAACAAGAGTGGGGACAGCAGTGCTCTTCTGGGAGATGACGCACTGATCACACTCTCTGAATCGAATGGTATGTCTGCCCCCAAAGTCACTGCTAGTTGTAGTCCAAGGGCTCATGAATCCACAGTGCTGAGCACAGTAAAGCAATTCTACCAGACTAGGAATAGCAGAAATGAAGTCTTATGAGAGAGAGAGAGGGAAAGAACACGAGGGACAAAAAGATGTCTTTATAGAAATTGAAAATCTCCTTTTCCCTACCTTCAATTGCTTTGGAATTCAGAAACCTAATTAAGGATTAGATGATACAGTGATTGATACTCCAAAAGTCGGTACAATACACGAGCAATACCCAGCAAGGTCCCTTTTGGACAGAAGAGTGGCCCAGCAGAGAGCACAGTTTGCCAATTAACATTATCTTCCTCCATAGAGAAGTTACATTCAACATATGCTATCTTATTGCTCCATTTTTTTGTCCTACGTTTTAGTTCCGTATTACTTTGGACCTTTTGTCTTCTATTCAAATATCTCTCAAGGTACTTAATTAAAAAAAATTATTCAGCAGTGAAGCAGGTTATATCTGCAAACCGAGTTTCAGTGCCTGATGCTTTTGATTCAGCCAGTGCATTTATTTTTGTTTTGTGCTCAGTGAAGGCACTTGCTCTTTTGTGTCATATGGGGGAATGAATACGCATTTAAAGTCCTCCTTAAGAAGCTCCTCAGTTCTTTTCAGCAGATTGTATCTCTTGACCTTTTTGAGGAAGCTTTTAGAAGAATTAAAATAAGAACTTTAATCATCAGAACTGCGCCATTTGTGAGCAGCGTTAATGTAATATTTTCTCACCTGCCTCAGAGGGCTTCTTGAAGTTGCGTTGAATTCATAATGAAGTGTCTGTGTGCTGTTTCATTGTTTGCTAGAACAAAACTACTTTTCTTAGAAGAGACTTTGTATTTGAAAGAAGTAATTATTTGTGTGAACAATGCAGCACGCTGCACTTTTTGTGAAAAACAATGCAAACTCACAAAGGCAAATCTGTGCAAATACTTCCAATAAGTTTATGACGCAACTCTGTGTATAAACAGTGAGTCTTGAAGGAGAAAAGTTTTATGAGGCTGTCATCAGTTAGCAGCTGCACATACGTGTTTGGTCATGGCAGTAGCTCTTCAAATGAGCCTCAATATGAAGTGTTTTGGATGTGACCTTTGCTAATCAAAGACACACACAAGAAATAAGAAAACCTCTGTGAATATATTTGTATAGCTAATGCAGCCTGAAACTGTCATTTCAAACATCTCTGACGTGTCTACTATTTTTAAGTCTCCTCTTATTCTTTTGTCCACAAACAAAGGTTCATCATCTTCCCACACATACTCAGTATTGATTGGAAATCGTGAGTGGATGCGACGGAATGGCTTGCATATTGCAAACGATGTCAATGATGCCATGACAGACCATGAAACTAAAGGACAGACAGCCATATTAGTGGCTATAGATGGTAACTACTGTGACTTAATAAACATCAGTTGATTGTACCATTGTAAGGATAAAAACAAACTAAAATAATCGGTGGATTAGTATCAAGAAATTACATATTATTTAATACAGAACTGTTTGTAAAAATGCCAAAGTATCAGGTGTTCTTAAAAGGTATTCTCAGAATAGAGTTTATAAGACCTTGCTGAGTAGTTTTTAATTTAAATGTTATTTTCCAAACCTCATGCTTCCAAAAAGTGTGATGTGCAGCGTGTACAACTGCACAAATGTGTCCTGCCCTGTCTTTGCATTGCTTAAGGATTAGAGGCTGACCTGCTGCATCTCTGATATCAAAATATTTCCTTAATAAATGTGACAAGTCATTAGATCATTCAAGTATAAAAGAGACAGTAGATTAGACTAAATGAGTTTTGCCAGAGGGTTTCTATTCTGTACTACACAGAAAGGGAACCTACGCAAAGCGTTAATAAGAGAAACTGCTGTAACGGTGATAAGTTTCCATTGGTCTGTGATCTTGATATGGGGCCTCTGATTTAATTAGTGAAAAAATAATTTCTTGTGCCCACAGAGAAATTTTCAGAGGCATCTGCATGTCTCAACCAGGGCTCCATTAATGTCCAGAAAAATCAAGTGCTCTTAACATGGAAATCAGGGCTCTGATGTATACTCAGTGTTCCTAGCATTACTGATAATGGTGACCAGAGTAACAGATGATGAAAACCTTCTTAAATCATTGCTTTTTAAATATAACATGCAATAACTTTATATTGTTGTAATTAGTATGGATACACCTTCCAGATAGTAAGTGTTGGGTACAGCTTTCCTGTCCAAAAGTAATTAATCCAACCCTGAAAGATTTAGAGGATATAAAAGCAAATATTCTAAATGCTGGAGGAATGGTTTCAACATCTGACAATTACAAAAACTTCCTGTAGCCCATAGTTTTTTTTTTTTTTTGTATGGGCAAAAATGACTATCAGTCAGGCATGTTTAAAAGCTATCATGCTTCCCTTCTGCCTGGTTCCTAAGTATCAGAGGAGTTTTGTTCTTAGATCTGAAAGAGGTAAATTAGAAAAGCGTGTGTGTGAGTGTGTGTAAGAAAGGGACCATAGATAAGAGAATTTAAGTCAGTGGTTCAGGCTTGTGAAAGCCAGTATTACCCAGAAAGAGTTACTTTCCCATACTGTGACAGAAGGAGTCCTGTTCTCTTGCTACCACTTTGCTGCCCACAGCTCTTTTTAACAGAGCACGTTTCTTTGTGAAGGTGTCTTGTGTGGAATGATTGCAATCGCAGACACTGTCAAGCAGGAGGCAGCCCTTGCTGTGCACACACTGAAAAACATGGGAATAGATGTGGTGCTGATAACGGGTGACAACAGGAAAACTGCAAAAGCCATTGCTACTCAGGTACCTTCTTGCATTTTACAAAATGTGTGATGGCTTTCTGAAATTCTGCTTATTTCAGTGAATTAGGACTAGGCACTCAGGGTTTCCATGTGTATGTTAAAAAAAGACTAACTTTTCTTGAACCAGACTGAACTCAGGTGAACTTTTTAGTGAGAACTACTGGTGATTGGTGGACGGTTGAACTGAATGATCTTCTAGGTGTTTTCCAACTTTGGTGATTCTATGATTCTAAGTCCTATGGCATAGTAAAGGCTGGTGACTGCATTAAGATCCCACTGAAGACAAACATTCAGTACCTCTTGAGGTGTGTTGAGTTTCATGCAGCAATTACTCCATTGCTGAGCTGAAGCCTTCTAGTTCCATTTGCTGAATGGTACTTGTGTTTCCTTAATGAAGAAGGGATGTGCCTTTAATGTCTAGTCTGGTTCCTAGTACAGGAAGTGGGGATTTGCCATTAAATTTAAAGATAACATAGTAATAAAAATGATTCTTATTGTTAAGAAGCATAGCAATCTAAAAGAAGTAGAGTGCATGACATTTCCTTGAACACAAACTATAAGCAACCTTCCAAAAGCAAAGCCAAATACTGACTCTACCTTGTAACATTTATACCCTCTCCATGTCCATTTCCCACTTGCACTTTGCACTGGTCTACTCTTAATCTACTGTGTGCCTCTGTGTTGCTTTCTTCATGTATACAAAGAGCAAACTCAGCTCTTCATACAAAGAGCAAACTCATCATGTCTTCTCCTATGTTGTGAGGCCTGTTTTGTTTCTCAATGTGATTTAATTCCTCTATTTTAATCCACTCTTTCACCTACTGTTTTTTTTTTTTAAGTCCCTTTCCAGCCTACCTTTCTTTGTTAAGATAGGAACTTTTTCATATATGAACTTTGGTTTTGTAGTTCCATTCCCTCAGGTGAACTTTTCAAACAACATTATTCGTTGCTAACCTAGATTTTCATCATTGATTTTTTTTTTTGTCAGTTGCAAAATGGTAAATCAGTCTAAAAAGTTTAAAATTCTACTTTGTGTGAAGTAAAAAGAGAGCTTCTACCTCCTGTGCTCTATCTGGTGAGGCAGACAGACCAATGGTGTTTATCCCAGTGCTTTTTAGTATACCCACCCCTATTTTTCAGTTGTAGCACTAAAGACATTTGGTAGCAACTCAAAGTTGAGAAGTAGGGTGAAGGAATTTATTCAGCCCTCTGCATTCTCTCCATAGTTTCCCTGGGACTTACACATTTATGTTGGCATTTCTGTTTTCCCTAGCATAAGTGCCTAATCATTTACTACTCCTGTGCACATTTCTTTGAAACTTTTATTGGTGCATATCCATCAAGCAGCATGTTTATTTGAAAACTGTCTATTTTAGCCATCAAACCTTTATTTGCCAGGGCAACAGAGCTCCAGAAGCCTTGTAAGGCATGATGACAAGGGCAGTGCATGGTGTTCCAGCCTCTGCAGTGATGATGGGGGAGTCTGTAATCAGTCACTTTCTCATCATAGAATGGCCTGGGTTGAAAAGGACCACAATGCTCATCCAGTTTCAACCCCCTGCTGTGTGCAGGGTCACCAACCAGCAGACCAGGCTGCCCAGAGCCACATCCAGCCTGGCCTTGAATGCCTCCAGGGATGGGGCATCCACAGCCTCCTTGGGCAACCTGTTCCAGTGCGTCACCACCCTCTGTGTGAAAAACTTCCTCCTAATATCTAACCTAAACCTCCCCTGTCTCAGTTTAAAACCATTCCCCCTTGTCCTATTAAAAAAAATAATAAAATAAATAAAAACCATTCGCCCTTATGCCAAAGGCAATTTGCTCTTCAGCTTTCCGTGTTGCTTGCAATTTATTTGAGTGATCTTCCTTTGTTTGCCCTTCTTCCAGAGCAGCAGATGGCTTTTCCTTTCAGCATATCACCAATAACCCTGTGTTTCTTTCTTCGTGCGTAGGTTGGGATCAAAAAAGTCTTCGCTGAGGTTCTTCCTTCTCACAAAGTTGCAAAGGTCCAAGAACTCCAAAATGGGAGGAGAAAGGTTGCGATGGTTGGTGACGGAGTCAATGATTCCCCTGCGCTAGCCAGGGCCGACATTGGAATTGCAATTGGAACGGGCACCGATGTTGCCATTGAAGCAGCAGATGTTGTTCTTATCCGAGTGAGCGCTGCAGTTTTGACTGCCTTCTACCACTTTCTGTAGCTCTTTTCAGTTCAGTATTCGATAGACTGCATGCAGAATACTTTCAGTGCTCTTCTGTCTTACAGAATGACTTGCTGGATGTAGTTGCCAGTATTCACTTATCGAAGAGAACAGTGCGGAGAATACGAATAAATCTGATTCTTGCCTTAATTTATAATCTGCTTGGAATACCAATAGCAGCAGGTAGGTGGTTGTCAGAGCTCAGCTTGTGGGAGACAGCAGCATGGTTGAGCTCTGTGGTGCCTCTGTCAGGATTTCCTGCTCAAGCAATTGAAGAGAGCTTCCTGGAGCATTTAAAACTCGGCAGAAGAAGAATAAAAAATATATGTATATAAATGTTTATACTGGTAGAAGAAATCTTTGTTCCCCAAATTTTAAGGTCTTGGGAGCAAATACTTATCTTAAAATGAAATCATGATTTTATTTTGCTTTACTCTACAGTATTTTGGGGTTCATTTTAGTATATTCAAATGTATCTCTAATAAGAGAGATCATCCAACTTCTAGGTGCTCCCTCTTTTATTCACCCCAAATTTCATATTTTGTCTCACACTATTTGGTTTCTCTGCTTCTATCAGACGTCTTCTCATGCTCTAAATTCCTACTTAAAACTAACTTCAAACAGCCCCCTATTCTTTTTATTTTTTTTAGTAACTTCTCCCTCATTTGCTTGTATTATTATTATTAATATTATGATTATACTTCTGTTGCTTTTGCTTTGCTTTGCACGTGCAGAATACCTGGGAGGGTCACACAGTCTTGCCCTGTGACTGCAGTCTTGTAATTGAATCTGTGCAAAGTCCATTCCATGCAACTGAAGGGACATATTTAACATGTTTAACAATAAGTAAGAAAATACATGTTGATCTATTTGTGATTATAGAGGCCTCAAAAAGTCCTGTTGATCTGTTCTATAGTATGCAGGGACAAAAACATCCATACTGGAACAGACTGCCCTGGCTGATGTCTGTGTGTTCTTTCGCTAGGTGTGTTCATGCCTGCTGGTCTTGTGCTTCAGCCTTGGATGGGATCAGCTGCCATGGCAGCTTCTTCTGTCTCTGTCGTGCTGTCTTCCCTGCAGCTGAAATGGCAAGTTATCTTACACTGAGTAAATGAGCAACCATAGGCAGCTCTGCTGCTGGGATTCAAGTGAGACATTAGTTTGGGTTTTATATACCTAAAAATACCTGAGGTCCTTTAGCATGGTGGTGTCTAATTCTTATCTGCAAAAGAGATGGACATCACTGTCATTAACATACTTGGGGTAAGACTGTTGAGCATTCTTTAGCTAGCAGCTAAAATAGTGACTGGATGCCACATGGACAGCTGTGTTGGAGATCTAGTTCAGTAACACTTGAGCTTTTCATAGTACGTTTTTGGGTGCAGCTGCAGTGGGCCTATTTTTAATACCATTGCGAACAAACATGTTTTAAAAGATCAGACTTCTTGCATTCTCTAGAAACATTCCAAACCTTCAGATATTTCTACTGTAGCTGAGGGTCTTTTGTGGTACATAGTACTAATGAACTAATGTAGGAAATCTATTATTGCATCACGATTCTGACCATGCTTCCTTGCACTGACTTCTTGATACAGACTATCTTTTCTCTTTCTCAGCTATAAGAAGCCAGACACAGAAAGTTATGAAGCTCAAGCTCAAGGCTGCATGAAGCCGCTTACCCCTTCCCAAATCAGTGTTCATATTGGAATGGATGACAGGAGGAGGGATTCATCCAGATCGGCTCCGTGGGATCAAATTAGCCAAGTGTCTCTTTCTTCCTTGACTTCAGACAAGCTGCCGAGACATAATGGGTTTTTTGAGGAGGAAGGGGACAAATGGTCACTGCTGATGAATGGAGGAGATGAAGAACAGTACATCTGAAGTGTTGTGTTCTCAGTACAGCAGGGAATGTTCCACCTCACCGGTGACAACAGGGACTGAGTCATGTCATCAAGAGCCTCAAGGTTTTAAGTGTAATTATTCCTTTGGCTCAAAAACAATTACTGTTCAGTTTTGTGTTGTATAGATTGTGGATTTTTTCAGGTCACCAGTTATTCCTAGTCACTGAAAGAATCTGTGACTCTATTGTGCTCATTTGCACGTAGCAATTAGTGAAATAATGTACAATAGTAATTTTCAGAGTCTAATAGAGTTTCTGTCTTTTGGACTGTCTGCTGGGCACCAAATTTCATACTTCACACTCTTTCTAAGTTTATTTTTTCAAGAGCACATGAAGCAAAGAAGATGTTCATAGCCTTAAAGATCTACGCCCATGAGAAAATATCCACTGCGTAAGGAGCTCTGTGGTTGGAATGCACAGAATCCTAACTAGTCATGTCATTGTGGGAGCACTTTATGCTTAGGATTCATGTGCATCTTCTTGGACCAAAAAAACTTCAGTGTTTCACCGACTGTATCTCTCTGAAAAGTCTCTTTCAAAGACTTTCACTTTCTTTCAACTATCAAGCTCTTTTGATGCACATTTTTCACAGCTGAACTTGTTCTGTGATTCCCACTGCTCTCTTAGACTTTCTCATTTGCTCCGTAGGAGCTCTTTTTTCTTTCCTTTCTCCAACCAAGGCATCTTCTATGGTTTATTACTATGTTTACAGATTATCCCTGTTTGGGATAAATTCCTTTAAGTCACTAGCAATTTTCCATCTTAAGGAAACCTACAAAGGCAGAGCAATTAGTGATCTGAGTTAGTACATAATTTTCCTGTGGATATCTTGCATGATCCCTCAAAGTCCTGGATAGTTGGCAGTTGGCAGTTTCTTTCCTCTGACCAAGTGAAGAATTTCTGTCAGTGTGAACAAGGCTGGCAGTTACCACGGAGTGACTGGAAGCAGAACTGTGTCTACAGTTGGTGTGACTCCAGCATGGCTGGATGAAGTGAGTTCATTACATAAATCAGCTTACAACCAGCTTCCTAGTTGCTTGAAGTGCAGCCATGAGGTTAAAAAGGTTGAAAAGTGGCCTTAAAATAATGTGGGAAGTAACTATTCCTGATGACAGAAGAGTATGAAGATCTATAATAGCTTGAATTTTAAGGTAAATGGATTTCTGTGTTATCAATTGGTTTCAACTTCCTTTTTTGCTCTAGTTTAATAAGAAATTAAGGTGCTGAGCAACTCATCTTTCACTTCAATGTCTTTACCAAAGCTGGCAGTAGCTTTATCACTCTGAGTGTTGAATTCAACCCTTAACACCATTTAGAGTCGGGACAATAGGAACCAACTGCTGAAGTGCACTGGACCTGGCCCTGTGGTGCTGCACTGCTGAACTGTGGGACTCTGACGTAAACAGCCCAGAGTTTTATATTTTGATTTGAGAAATGAAAGAACGGGAATTACTGCACCAAGCAATACGAGGTAACGTTCACTGACTTAAATACAGAGTGGTTTCAAACAAGGATTCAAGTCCCACTCCTCCTAATTTTTTTTGTTGTTTGTTTTTACAAGACCCTGAAGCACCAGGCAGATCTTCCTGTTCTCTCTTCCTCTTAATATTACATTTGAGCTGTCACGAGAAAACATCAACAGCATTGTCTAAAATACTCATGTTTTAAAACTGTAAAATCTCCTTATACGCAGAGATGACTTCCACAGCACTCACACTTCTCAGACATCCCATAAATGCCTTTACGTGGCCTTTAGGGGAAGTCTACTGTTTCACTATTCTGTGTTTTCTTACCAGTGCTTACAGTAAAAAAAAAAAAATAATAAAAAAAAAAAAAGGGTGTTTTTTTAAACAAACAAAACTTGTGTCTTGGCTTTTTTTTTTTTCCGTACCCTTCAAAAAATACAACCTACCAAACAACCACATATAAACAGTAATTGATGGACTGTAGGATGTATGTGCAAAATGCCTTTGCCAACAAGCAGTGCAGTTTGTATGGCATGCTCTACAAGTCCCTGATCTTGACTTAGCGTGCTTGGCTCTGACAAAAATAAAACCAAGAAATTCAGTCTATTAATCTGTCCTGGTGGATCACATCCTTGTGTTGTTGGAATTTGCAAGAGCGTTTCTGATAGATTTCAGCAGAACTAAGACTTACTTGATTCTATTGTTGACTTGATCTCCACTTTTTGAAAGCTTGGACCAGTCAACTGGTGAGATTAGTCTTCTGCTCATCAACACAACAGGTACAAAAAATAGCTTATGTCTAAGATCATAGTGTGCATATTCCAAATTACAGTTTATGTGGGATAAGAAAATCACAGAATCGCAGAATCACCAAGGTTGGAAAAGACCTACAAGATCATCCAGTCCAACCATCTACCCATCACCAGCAGCTCTCACTAAATCATATCCCTCAACACAACATCCAAACGTTCCTTGAACACCTCCAGGGTCGGTGACTCCACCACCTCCCTGGGCAGCCCATTCCATGCCTGACCAGTCTTTCAGAAAAGCAGTATTTCTTAACGTCTGGCCTGAATCTCCCCTGGCACAGCTTGAAGCCATTCCCTCTCGTCCTATCACCAGATACATGAGAGAAGAGGCCAAACCCCAGCTCACCACAACCTCCCTTCAGGTAGTTATAGAGAGCAATGAGGTCTCCCCTAAGCCTCCTCCAGACTGAACAATCCCAGCTCCTTCAGCTGCTCCTCATAAAGCCCGTGCTCCAGACCCCTTACCAGCTTTGTGATCTGGTTCACAAAGCAGGGAAAAAGAACAGTGTTGTACTGTGCATTGAGGCAGGTGAGATTGAAAGCTTGTTGAAGGATGGAATTAGGATTCCAAGCCATCTTGAGATATTGGACAAAGAAATTAGAAGTTAGCTGAGCAGAAAGATGTCAGGTAGGTGGTTTGTGTTTTCTTAGTGACCTGTTCTAACAACACTGGTGCTGCACAATGGAACAGATACATGGTGTTGTGTAAACATTGTCATCTATATGATGTAAAACAGCTGTTCAGCTCTGGTGAGGCATCAGCTGAAGTAGCAGGTCTGGTTTTGTGCTATGCTTGTTAGGAAATGTAAGCAGTTCAGAAAGCAGCAATGAGGTTGAAGTGAAATCAAGAAAACATCTGGATGCAAGTACCTGAGAATGAGAAATGTAAGGAGATAGATAGTTTCAGTAGGTTTCTCAACAGCATCCTACAAGTCTTCAAACACGAAGAGAACAATTGAGTCCTTTCATCTTTTCAGTGTCTTATGTCCATGGTGGATAGAAGAAAAATTAAGAAGCTTACAGATTTGAGGAAGATTTAGATCAGTCACTGAGGAGGAACTAGCAGGAAGAGATTATCAAGGCAGGCTCTTGAGCTGAGTGGCAATTGGGCACGTACCTTTTGGAAATACTTCAGGCAGAGGTGAGTCCTGTCTCAACATTCTCTCCAGCCCTGTTGTCTCTTATTTCTATGACAGTGACGTGGGCTGGCATGTTAATTGAGCAGAGGACTCTAGGCTGAGCACACTGTGCTGCTCTCAAGAGGGGCCAAAAGGCTGGAAGAAAGATTAGCTTTGAGTTTACTTAATACATTGAAATTAACTGGAAAATATGTTCGTATTTAGTAACTGTATTTGCACAGTGTCTCAAAATGTAAGCTCCTGTGAAACATGGATGAAAGAACATAAAGAAGTTAGACTGGGTACATACACTCAAGAGAAACAAATGTAAGTCCTGACACTCGTGATGATGTGCTCTTGTTAAACCTGAGCTGACTCACCAGAGGGATGCATGAGGTGGAGCACCGTATTCACATTTCTGCATGACATAATCATGAGCCTTCCTTCTCTCTGACAGGGAAACCGGCCTACAGAGCCCTGATACAGCAGGGTGCTGGCTTGAAACCAATGTTCTGTGGGACCTGGAGCCAGAAACAGGATCACGGTTTCAGGAAGGGCGCTGAAAGGAAGAGCTCTTCTTAAAGGTAATTGTTAAGGTTGGAAAAAGCCTCTAAGATTTAGTCCAACCATCAAATCCATTTTGTTCTTAAGTGTGCAAATGTCTCAAGTTCCCTCAGTATGACTGGGGTGCTACAGATCGGAGGCTAAAAATTGATACATTGGATGATACATACAGAAATGCCCCAGCCATACTGGAGAGGTGACGTTGTTTTCTATAAGTCTCTACCACTGTCTGAGTATTAGTTTATTTGTCCTGGGAAAAGTGTAGTATCCATATTCACACACATACATATTATATATATATGTATTAGTGAACAAAGAAGACATCTCATGGATAGCATCTGTCCAGTGGATAAGATCTATCTAATGGGTCTTATAAGATCTAATATATCTTATCCAGTCCTGTATGAGAAAGGCTGAGAGACCTGGACTGTTTAGCCTGGAGAAGAGAAGGCTGAGAGAGGATCTCATCACTGCTTAGAAACATTTAAAGTGAAGGAAGTCAAGTAGATGAGGTGCACTCTTTTAGGTGGTGAGCAGCAGTAGAACGAAAGGGAATGGGCAGAAACTAGGACGCAGGAAGTTCCACTCTAACACAAGGAAGAACTTCTTAACTGTCAGAGTGACGGACACTGGAACTGCCCAGTTCAGGCTGCCCAGAGAGGTCATGGAGTATCCTTCTCTGGAGATACTCAAGACCCATCTGGACACCTACCTGTGCAACCTGCTGTAGGGAACCTACTTTAGCAGGGGTTGACTTGATGATCTCTAGAAGTCCCTTCCATATAATTCTGTGGTAAGTTTGGTCTCCATGTGATTTTTAGAGCAATAGATCTGGAGCATTGTTTATGCAACGTTTTCCAACCATTTTCTTTCTCATGCTGTAGTTTTGCCAGAAAATTTTTGGTGCCCTATGGTCACGGAAAACAAATGATTGCATTTGATGATCAGAGGGCTGGAGTATCTCCCCTATGATGACAGTCTGAAGGAGCTGAGTTCATTCAGTCTGGAGAAGAAAAAGCTGTGGGAAGACTTCATTGCAGCTTTCTAACATTTAAAAGAAGATTATAAAAAGGAGGAAAATCAACTTTTTACAAGGGGGAATGGTTTTAAACTAAAGGAGGAAAGATTTAGACTAGATGTCACAGAGAGCGCAGTGAGGCCTTGGCAAAATTTGCCCAGAGAAGCTGTGGATGCCCGTCCCTGGAGGGGTTCAAGGCCAGGCTGGATGGGGCCCTGGGCAGCCTGATCTTAGTGCCTGATGTAGTGGTTGACAAACCTGCCAATGGCAAGGGGTTGGAACTAGATGATCTTTGAGGGTCTTTCCAAACCAAGCCGTTCTATGATTCTATGATTTGTTTAATTTCCTCCTCCCTTCCCATTTTTCAAGCAAACAAACAACTTGCTTTCTCTGCAGGCTGATTAAAACCGGTTTTTGTCTAAACAACCTTACAGGGATTGTGTTTTCTCTGAACGGACTTGTGTGTGAAGAACACAAATGAGTCACTGGTGAAATAATCCGATGGGTTGGAGGATGATAAATCGGCTAACACTGAAATGTCATGTTTCATCTGCTAAGATACCAGCAGTGACTTGTGCTGGTTTTCAATGGGAAATGATTCGAGAGCCGCAACAAATGAAGAAGTGGTGAAGAGCAGAGCATCCTGCCCAGAGCTTTGCTTCCCAGAGAAGCTGTGGGTGCCCCATCCCTTGAGGCACTCAAGGCCAGGTTGGATGGGGTCCTGGGTGGCACTGCTCATGACGGGGAGTTGAAACTGGACAATCTTTGAGGTCCCTTCTGACCCAAGCCATTCTATGACTCTGTTCTGATTCTTGCTGTCCTGCTTGCATGTGAGTCGTCCTGGATAGGTACAAACATAGGAGGAGAGAGATGGATTCTTCCCTTGTTTCGTGTTAAAATCACTGAGACTTTGCAGATCCATCCACAGTCTCTCTGAACAACACTCTGATTTTTGTCAGCTTTTTATGCATAAAAGGGTGATTTCTAATGATTCCCCAGGTGCTACAGAGGAAGGGAAAGGGATTTCCCATGAGGATATGTTTGTTGCTTTCACCATTTGGGCATTCAGCTCCCCTGGGACATGTGTGATGTTTTTTAGCTGTTCATTACTGGTTACTGCTAGTGAGTGCTGCAGCCAGGAGCCAGGTGGCTGCAAGGGCTGATGGACCACGAGATGTCACTGCAGGCTCAGCTCCAGCCTCAGAATCCCCTTTATTTGCAAAGCATCTGAAAATCTAACACAGTCAATGCTCATTAGCACCAAGGGGGGAAAAGTGAAAAAGGGGCAGTTTAAGCCAAAGGATAGAGTGTGCTTAAAATTTGGGTTTGACTTGACATTATCAAGCTGGGGAACAGAAGATTTCAGGCCAGTGTTGATTTATTTGGAGCTCTGAATTGCTGCCTTGTTTGTAGTATCTGACAGCTAAGTGATTCCTGAGCTCCTCGCTTGTTGTCTGCTGAGATTAGCGTTAGCTTTCTTTTCTGTTTTCCTTTGACAAGCTGAGATCTCACAAGATAAGCAGGAAAGCTGAGCATCATGCACCTGAGCTGTGTGCTCAGCACCAACCCATACCTTCAGGTGGGATTTAGAATCCCCAGGTACCAGGGGTGCATGGGATATGCCAGCAGTCTGTGTCATCCCTGGGTGGGATCATTGGCACTGCCACATGTGCATGGTGCCAACCACAGCATGCTTCCAGCACTATCCCTGCGTGGGCAACAGCTGTTTTTCTGGACCCCCTGCAAGCCCACAGGCTGCAAAATTATCTGGTTGCTGTGAAAAGGTAGCAAAACCTTTGGCTTTCTTACAGGACCCGGCAGCAGACCTTCATGCAGCAAGGGGATGAACGTGTGGCACCTGCGGCTGCGTGCAGCACTTGTCACAGCGGTGCTGCTGTTCCCTGTGAGGGTTAATGTTATTTTCAGACACCTCTGCATTGCAGCTGAAAATCGGAGAGGCTGGGAGCAACCTGCTGAAGAGGAAACGGCTCATTAAATACATACTGTCACTGATTCATAAGAGAGTGTGAAGACAATATAATTACTGTAATTATGGCAGATACTTGCTGCAGAGTTGCCATTTGTGTCGGGAATTTT